CTGGGAGGCGGGGTTTCCAGCATCATGGGTAACAGGCACCAGTACATCTCAGGAAATACCAATGGGATGTCACTGTCCATGTCACTCATCACCGTCTCTGTCACTCATCTTCATTGTGCCTTATGTACTCTGTGGAAAATGTAGTTCTTGTTCTACCCCGGTGTTTCTCAGTCCAGTCCTCTGAGACCACGAGACCACAGTCCACATTTCTGCTCCCTCCAAGCTCCCAGCCAATCAAAAACACCGATTACCTGGTACAGGTGCGATGAGAGCAGGGAGGGAGCAAAAATGTGGTCTGTCTAAGGGTCCCAGAGGCCTGAGTTGAGAAACACTGTAATCTATCCAGTGTAACACACACATTCACTTTAAACACCCTTGTTCTGGTGCTATCAGTACAGTCAAAGTGCATTTAAAATGAAACAAACCACGAACCAGAAATAACTAACGCGGGAATAACACACCTAATCCCATTATTAGGCGATAAAAAGAGGAATTTTAAGGTGAGGCTGGACAATAACACTTAACAGAAACAGAAGTATTTAAAAAAGGCTACTTCAGGCTTTTAGACAAAATTGGGAATGGCATTGCCAAACTATAATTAATGCTAGAGAACTCATCTCCTATTCATACCTATCCGACCGGCACAAAACGGCTCCACTCTCCTGCCTGCATACATTTCTGCGTAGTTACAAGTGGTTAGTGCTGAGCTGTTGTAGACACGGCTGTCGAACACCCTCGGGTACAGAAAAGGGCCATGGTATCTCGTCCCTCTTTCATACAGGAGCCACAGGTGAGAAACTTCAGCAGAATATATTCAATTATCAGGCGAGTAGCTGCTGTCATCCAGAATGAGGAGACTACAAAGGCAATTCACTGAAGAGGACCAAAAAGTCTGTTCTTTCCAGATAATGGGATTGCTTTGAAATAGTAAAAATTACGTTTCCTACTCAGAAAGCCTAATGAATAGTGGCAGAGCAATATCCAAACAATATCCTAAAGTATGCATGTCCAAGGCGGTGGAAACGGCGGTATGGAGCGATTCCACGCTTAAAATGTGTCTTTGCATAATTAACTAATTATGTTCCATTTATGTTACAGCTTTGATGCTGTATCTCTGTTACGGGGACGAAAGTACTGTGTGAAAGTGTTTCATTTGCGTTTCCTGGCTGGGAAAAGAAAATGTTTATATTCTGCTTCCCAAAACCCTGAGTAGGATCAGAGTTTCGAGGACGGACGGACGGATGGATGCATATCCCTCTCCTGACGCAGAAAGGAGAAATCCCAGATAGTTTTTGGATACTCCCCGGACTGGTCTTTCTGACATGACTGTAGTTCCCAAGATGCATTGCAGCTGACAGAACCCTAACGAAGACTGAGCATGTTATTTTTGGACATTTTTCAAACTCCTCTTACAGGTGATTTAAGTCTCACAAAGTAACAATAAGGCTTCAGACATATCGGAGGTAGTCATACCTTCAGCCTGGAGGCCAGAGCCCGCAAACAGCCCTCAGTTTTGCTCCCAGCCAGTCCAGAACACCGAGTACCTGGTACAGGTGCACTGGGAGGGAGCAAAAATGTGCACTGCCCCGAGGGCCGGGTTGGGAAGCACTAGTTAAGGTACAAAAGACCCGCCCACAGTGCGCAACACTGGCGTTACACCTCAGCTTCTCCCTCCGGCTCATTTACTGCATCATTTTACAACAGAAAATATTGAGAAGCCCCCCAGTCATCCATTGATCATCTCAGCTCTTTAGTCATTAAAAATGCATTCTCTCTGCAATTAGTATAGAAATCACAATTATAATATTTTCCTTTCATTTTAGAATCACTGCTTCTGGTCAAACCATTGCTGCCCTCTGATGTAGTATTTGTGGTATTGTGAATATTTTTAAAATGTATTATAAAATATTATAAAGTCAACTGTACGCATATGAATGACAGTCATACTATTTGAATCAGTCGTATTATTTCTGATTTTGCATAATATATGAAAACGGTCAGTCATTTGTTGCATGGCCTCCATCCGCGATTTCCGTACGCATATCGCCGTAGCCGGGCATCTTTCACGCAGACAGTGAATGCAAAAAAAAATAAATAATAATAATCGAGAATCTGTTGCTGCTTATTAGCAATTTTGAATGGTCTATGAGCAAGTATTCATTAAGAACGGCTCATTAGTCAAAGACTATGATTAAGCTGCTACATTTTGAGACCAGGTGCACAAAACTTGTGGTGATAATTAATGCTATTACATAGGCAAGAATGTAATGAAGATAATGCATCGTATAGAGTATTTATACCATGGATACAATACCATCAGGAGGATCCTCAGAAAATAAAGGAGAATTGAAAAATGAGATAAAATCATAGTTACTGATATGCTGTGTTATCTTCTAAAGATTACATTACCAGGAGTGTTGTGATTTTCTGCGCACCTGACTTGGTTAAACCTACTTCAGACTCATAAAATCATGGATATTCCGCCAGTGGATGCATTATCCACACGGCCTTATTAAATAACAGCCGCAGTCAGACTTGCTGTCTGTCTTAGACAGTTCAGATGCTCCCCACACGCTGGATAAAGTCATTATGTTGAAATCCCCTCATTTAAACTTCCACGTTCCAGAGGTTAGACCTGGTTCCAGGAGCTGCCCAAGAGTATGATGGGAGACTGAGACATCTTCTGATGAACTCCTGAGAATGCGTCGTGGGCATAGAAAACAGGCAGGGAGGTGGCAAATGGTGACGGCAAGGACCTTCATTAGACAAAATAAGCGCTGCAGTGCCTCCTGAGGACCTCTGACCTGGAGCTGAGATCTTCCAAGGATTTCACAGGAGAAACTCTGCCCTCATCTGCCCCCCGCCTCTCACCCCCAGCAACAGCAATATGCTTCTCTTTCCCGTGTTGCGAGTTTTGTGGAGTAACAAACAGAAACTCACAGAGGCTTTAGCGTTTTAATCTTTGGGAGTCTTTGATAAAATAATCACTGTAGCTGGGGTGTCAATGTCTGCTGCAGGAAAAGTAAAGTAATCTGTTAAGGTGAGCTGGGCAGGTTGGCCCCACGACTCCGACGGGTAACCTCTTCGTTGGCTTTCATCTAAGTTCACTCTCATTTCGTTTAGAGGCAAGATTTTCACTTGACACAGGCGTGGAATTCCTGATACTCATATGAGCTGAAGAGTCGTCAAACGCGCTGAGTGCGAACCACAGTTAGGCAAGAAACAAACTGCACATCAGACTAAAGCAGCCCTGCATAGACCTACGTGCCCAAAGTGGCGAGCAAAGTTCCGAAACTCACTGGATACATTTCAGAAAAATTTTGTGGACTAACTGAATTCTGGAAATTTAACGTTAAGTTCTTCGTTGGATTGCATTGGCGGTCTCAACTCACGCGCAACAACAAACGGACTGAGTGAGTTTTGGATTTTTACTCTACAGTTATGTTATAAGAAACAACAGAGATCTTACTCAACAGATCTAAGGGGGAATCAGCGTTGTCTGTCAGCCGTCAGCGTTTGAGGCCGTGAAATAGCATGTCAGAGTGGTGTTACTCCACATACTTCCCACAACCAAACGCAGCTTTCAGCCCAAACGGGCACAGATGGGCTCAACATCCAAGGAATTCTGGGAGCCCCCAGAAGGATGCTCAGTTTGCAACTTTACCGGTTTTAGGTTATTACGGCATGCGTCACTCAGAAGCGCAACAAAAAAGAAGCACCGGACGCGGCCTACCTTTGAGGTCCAGGTTGCGGGCTCCGTTGGAGTGCTGCGTCACGGTGCGGGAGTCGATCTTGAGGGTGTGCACGTTGTTGGCGTCCCGGGAAACCACCACACTGTGCCACTGGTTGTCGTTAAGCTGTTTTTCTGAGTTGCCCTTCATGAGTGAAGGCCCATTGCCCAGGTCAAAGACATAGTGGACATACCTATAGGAGACCAGAGCATCACGGAGAAGTCTTAGTACGGCGACGGTAGAGCGTCATCATACAGCAGGCGCCACAAATCCAGGTATTCGAGAGCTGACTTGTGAGATCAAACAGAAACCAGAAAACCCTACGACCTATGCGGTATTACATCAATGCTATATAATATATACACACTATATTATACACTATAGACAGTGTGTGAATATTTATTACTAGGGATAGACTTATCACCAATGAAGTAATCATTTCCAAGAAAGATTACTTTCTCTTTGCGAAAATGAAGGTCTTTCAAAGGTCGCCGTCTTTCAGCTTAGGAGTGTTTTAAGAAGCACGGCACACAACAGACATTGTTTTCAATATATAAATTTGCTCTGCCCGTTCCGCGCCTGTCAACGCGGCGCCACGCGCCCGACGACTTCACTTGATGACTGACGTGAGCCGAGGCGTCTACAGGCAGACCACGTAAGCCCGGCAGACAAAGAGACCGGCTTCATTCGGGTCAGAACAATTTAGTCCAGGTCTCTGTGCTGAAAATACCATTAATGAGTAGAAAAAGTAGCACATTACACATTCGGTTCTGAGGCTCCGAGGTTACAGGATGTCTTCCGCTCTTTAATTCCTTGTGACTGCAGCAAATTTCTGGATGATATGGGATAGATATTTTTTTTAATCTGAAACTCACCAGCCCCAAATTCACTGCCCTTTTCTTCTGAAACAGGCATTTTTCCCTCCAATTTAAGAATATCTAGAACTGAACAAAAGGCCTTTCCCTCAGATCGCCCTGGGCTCACAGGATTACATTACTCCTCATTATAGGAAATGATTTATTGCGCTAAAGTGCTTATTTACTCATTTAATTTCTGCATGCTATTTACCGCGTATTGACAGATCACCCTTTCGTAATTTTTGTCCGGCACTGTTGTGTGAATTGTGAGCGAAGCGCATAATGACATTTCACTGAGCCCTAGTGTATTGTACGATCATAACACCCCCAAAAATGGCCAAAAAAGCATGTGGGGCAGAACTGCCGCCCAATACACCTCAAAAGCCAAGCACTTCTCATCCATGGAAATACTCCAGGTCTGAATTTATATCGCTGGCTGAAAAACCTCAGGTATAACCTCCTTCACAAAATATCCTGTTTATTTTTAACTGACCTAGCCTCACAAAGCCCCCCCCGGTAGCTCACCTCTAACAGACTCAGATCAAATATTTACAGTAAAGGGATGTTTGAAATGTGTATATGCCTCATTATTCTGCACAAAAACATCTGATATATAAATGAACAGACACAGAAAGACAGACAGACAGACAGAGACACAGACAGACAGATAGATAGATAGATAGACAGACAGACAGATAGACAGACAGACAGATAGATAGACAGACAGATAGATAGACAGTCAGTCAGACAGATAGAGTCAGATGGACAGACAGATAGATAGACAGATAGATACAGTAGATAGATAGATAGGATAACAGGCACAGACAGACTGACAGACGACATTAGGCTATGGTTATCGGCCGTGAGGAAGTCCTGCCCACCCCTTGACCAGCTCCACCACGATGAAGTCGCTGCCGTCTCCGCTGTTGAAGAGGAGCAGGCCGTCGGAGGTCGTGGTCTTAAACTGGAAGAAGAGATGCATGGAGGCGTAGGCCTGTAAGGTGGCCAGCGCCAGGTAGCTGGCCTTGTTCCGGAAGGTCACGGGGTCGGCGATGATGTGGCGCATGCCAAAGCGGGCATTCAGCTCGCAGTAGGAGATGTCCCCGTTCTTGCACTGGTCCAGGTAGGGCACCCCGTTGAAGGAGAGCCCCTGGAGGTGCCCGATGAAGTTGGACGGCACCACAGAGATAAAGCGGCGTTCCGTCATGATGCCCGTCTCGATGTTGTGGAACTCCAGTTGCGTGTGTGCACCAGTCATTTGGCCTGTGGGTGGGTGGGGGGGGGGGGGGGGGAGGGGGGGGGGGGGTTCAGCCAGAACAACTGTTGCCATGGCAGCGTGATTGCCCACCCAGAGTTCATTCAGACATGAAATGGTTGTTCTTGCTGGCCGCCCATAGAAGGCGTGTACGCGGCCATGTGGACATCATTATGATCCATCCGCACAGACAGCCTGCGTTGATTGGACGCGCCCCCCCCCCCGGGGGGGGGGG